AGGATTAAATTTACACATCCTTACATGACAGCAAAGTCTAAACTGAGACAGGGTCAGATGTCAAATCTGTTTTCAGTTAAAATCATTGGTACTAATTAAAGAGATAAATTATGCACAAGTTATACCGCATGGCTTTGTGATGATCTGACTCCACCAGCAGATCACAAAGGATGATTTTCAGTCATCAATTAATGGCCGATAAAATTACCTTAGCGATCAGTCAATAAGAAACTGGACAATGGTCAGCGAATGACCACTGGTCTGTCAGATGAGGTCAAAATGAAGCAACGGCTAGATTCTTTATTCATAACGCTTTGTAATCATGTCAGTTATGAGATGAGATTAAAATTGGACGTAGTTACCCTTTGGACGCTGAAACGGAGAACTTTATTGTCTTTTCGCATCACTCTTGAAGTCTCATATTTTTGAATGACCACACAGCTTATTAAAACCGTCCACAGTTACCAAACAATGGTCAAAGAATTTTTTTGGGGGGGAAATTGACCATAGCTATTGAACAATGCTCAAGTATCTTTTTGAAATTGACCACAGTTACCAAACAATGGACATGAACTGGTCACAACAAACACAGCTGACAAGATAATCGGGCGTATGGTCATTTTGGCATCGGTCAATTTAACAATGTACATGTCTCTCTTTCTCTATTTCTTCATCCACTTCAAAGGTCAGTGTCCCAAAAAAGCATGAAAAAATTATCCATTTACGAAAAAAGAATGGGTAAATATAGTAACAAAAAGTGATAAATTGTGTCCTGTCTTTCAAACATGAGGCTTGAACAATAACAATGTCTGATGCATGCTTTCTCACCCATATGTTCTCCAGAGCAGTCAGTGACCCTCAGAGTCACCTCACAAAATCGTTTAAATCACATCCTTACAAAAATCTTATCATTTTACTGTATAACTGGATGTCACTTAAGTCAGGTATCTGTAAAGTAAGGTTTCACTATATTACTGACTATTGTTAAAGTCAGATGTCAGTATGGAAATACCGGTTTTACAGTATCCATCATTGGTCCAGACATGATTGTTCCATTATTTCAGCAGCTGTTCATCAACATTTAACACTATGTACATCTTATGAAAATATGAAAATTTGACCGATAAATCAAACGGTAAACATCGGCTTTAGGAGTTAATCATAAACACATGGATTATGATAATCTGGATCAGGATATTGTGGTGTATCGCTAATACCATTGTTAAAACTCGAACTTCTCTATGAAAGTTATGGAGATTAATGCCGTTCTTTGACTCCTGTATCAGTTTGGTTACCTATAACCCTATCCTAATCCTCTCATTTTAGACCTGTATCTTTACCTATATAGTTTATCTGTCAATAAGCCCATGCCTGGTAATAAGCCCACCCATATTTATTACTAATCACCACAATTACAAGCAAAAGAGGATTCATTGTCTTCTAATAAGCCCATCCCCTAAATTTGTCCTCTGGTCAAATTTGGGCAATACCACATGCATAGCAAATATTTATTTTCAATGAACACATATAAAGATGAATCTGCAGCAAAACATTCAATCTAGCAAGATTATATATATATATATATGTTTTATATGAAAACATCTCATCAGTTCCTAGTTATACATTGTTAAAAAAATGCAAATTGTAAAAATTCAGGAAATCTACATTTCATAAACTGAAAATTGATTATAACACGGATTGCTTGGGTCTGCATACATATAATACATTGCATCACAGCGACAAAAATCTTGAATTCCAATTTCATCGAAACCCACGAAAGCATGCTGACAAAAAGGCCACTTCCTGTCGGATGTACCACACTGTGCCGTTTTTACACAACAGGTATTTAGATCTCTGTACCGCTCTGATAAACAACTCAGATGGGTGTGATGGGTGAATATTGAGAGTCTCCCCTGTAACCATCCTACAGGTATCAAAAGGTTGTTTGAGTGGAGATGAATGGGAAGAAGACGCATATTTATGCAAATGAAATCGCGTAATAGTGAGTGTATCACTCACAAAAAGTGACAGAGACTTTATTGAAGTTCTCATTATCCAGCTCAGTCAACCAAAGACGTACACACATACACACTGAATTTTCAATTTTAAAATGCGTCACGTCTAGCATAACAGATTCCCATTTATATATAGAGAGCGTATTCTGACATGAGTTATATAACACATGATTGACATGTAAAGTCTGTCTGCTAATTGTTATCCTCTCATTTATAGCAAAGGTAAACCACATACCTTTAATCTTAAATTGCGATAAGTTTGGATAAAATTTTCTATTCTGGTAAACAAGGTTAAATACCCTACAGGAGAGTATTCTATGTAATGAAGTTAAAGTGTAGCTGAATTTAGTGCTTTCAAATCTGCATTCTTTTACCATAACCAACAAAACAAACTTTATAAAAATATATTTTGTGATACATAAAAATGATATTTTTGAAATTTTAACAAATTTTTACTCTAATTGAATTGTTATACCCACAAACTATTAAACAGCAACCAATGTCATCACAGAAAAATTCCTAGTGGACATAATTCTTAGCAATATTTAAAGTTTTGAAAATAGAAAAATCAAATCACCACTAAAATAAGTCTGTGTGCAGTATGTAACAGTGTTTGAGTTCTGTGGTACACCAAAGGCAATAACTGACTAGGCCTGTAGACCTTGTGGTCATCTAGTCACCAGTGTAAACAATATCACAGACACAGTACCAGTTACTTCTCTGGTCAAACTTCAGCTTGACCGACTGAATTTTATTTGAATGGTCAGATCTGATCCATCAACCTAAGTATTACAAGGAGTTACAGCACAGTCTATTTGACCAGTGGTCAAGCGGATAAATGTTTGGACAAAATCTGTAGTCCATCACCTTGTCTACCTTGACCGACAACAATGACAATTATCTGGTTCTGAAATTTATTTCAAATGTCATTGCTTCCACATCACATGCACTGTTGGATTGTAAATCCCGAAAAGTTTAACACAACTCTATCAGATTTTATTTCTCAATCTCAAATTATCAAAAACATCTTTGCAAAGTTGATACCTAATTGCTGAACATTTGAATAAATACTTTCATACTTAGAGTTTGCCACTGAAGCCATTATGATGTAGGAACTTGTCTAATAGATACAATTCACATCAAAACATTGTTCTTATCACACTAATTTATCATTTTCTATAAAGTTTTAGTCTATGGGTTAAGTCACTAAACTGAATTTATTTCTTTTTATCTTCCTATAGATTTAAGGGATTACAGCTTTAATTGAAAAAAAAATCTGATTTTGTATAAAATTTTACCCTCAGGGCATTTCCTGAGATTTACTAACCCTTTTCATCTCATACAAAGATTTTGTCATGTAATGTATGATTTTTAACATACTTTCTTTATCTAGATAAGAAAATAAAATTGTCCAAGTGAGTCTTGAATGATTAAATCAATCAAGTTAAATTAATTCTTAAAATTTTATTTGATATTAAAGTGAAAAACATTCTTTAATTTTTTATAAAAAGGTTCAAAGTTTGATAAGTATATACCTTAAGTTGATCAAGTTCAATGACTGGATGTCGTTTTTAATGTGATACATGTCGTTTTAAAAGGGCGTTAAGAGTTAACGAGTTATCTGTCTACCTGTCGTGAGCCTGCCAGGTAAAAACCACACACTGTTTACCAAGTGAACAGTTTTGGTATCTTGCTCTTTGGAAGTTAAATCTACCTGAAACACCCTATAAAAAATTCTAACAAGATACAGTGCAGAAATTATTTATTCATAAAACCCACACAGGACTTTTAAAACATATAACTTTATTCAAAGAAGATACCTGAAAAAACTGCATTAAATCAGACAGCGCTCTATATCAGAAGCAATAACTTCCCTGCCATTTTGATATGATGATCACGGTTAATGATTTTCAGGTCAGGTTTCGTCGGGATTTTGCTCCTAATCTAGAGAAAGGGATACCTCCCCTAACAAAAGGATGAAAGTATAATACTAAAATATTGGCAGATCCCAAGACCAGATTATAGCACCTGCTTTAGAAATCTATCCAAACTATTGTGAATTTACCGCCGTATCATAATCCTCACCGATTTAATCGCAAATTGAAGTCTCTGGTCTTGACAATAGGAGGCAGGTAATCACGGCCCGAATGATATATCAGTACCCCTATTACCCTGATAAAAGTGACCAGATTCCAAATAGTAGATTGTCTTCATCAAAAGCCATCCTGATGCACTTTTGATAGTGTCATTTCATGAGCTTGCTATAAAACTGTTGTGAATTTTAATGTCAGATTCGAGACAGGTACAATATGAAATGGACACCTGTAAGATAAACAGTACGGCTGAATACTGATGGCGATTTCTCGCTACAGTCTTTTCACAACACCTGAACATATGTTTCAATATTTTCAAAGCCGCGATAGATTTGAATCTACCGGTATAATTTTCCAATGATATATTTATATTCTCTAATCGTGACTATAATAAAAGATTGGTGGACCAGCATCGTGACCTAAACCGAGTCGTAAAATATGATCAAAAGCACAAAGATACCAGCATGATTCTTACAGGCTACATATCTTTGTGCACCTGAAATTTCAGACAAATTTCATGTTTTAATGCTACACTCCTTTCAAGGGTCCTTTATGACCTTCCAGATTTACTAAATATTTAGCCATGTTTTTTTTTTAATTTTACAAATATATTTACTTCAGACAATTTTTGATTTACACAAAGAATCTGTTTACATTTAATTTGAAATCTACACTTCAATCTTTTTATACCCCAGCCATTTCATGGACAAGGCATATAACATTACCCTTGTCTATCATTCTGTGACGATTTTTCAAAATTTCAATGAAAAGAAAAACTCTCAAGGAAAAAAAACTATTAAATGAAAACCTCCTTATGTTTCGTATGCAAATACAAAGTTCAACAATATTTTGTGAAACAGTGTTTAATGTTTTCATTTCTGTTTCATTTTAGTTGACCTTGCCTCCTTTCCAATCCTTGAAGGAAAATTATCCGGGATATTTTCATCATGGCGGCCGTTTTCACAATCACCGTCTAATAGATATCATTGGATGTTATCAGGAGTTATCTCGCCATGACACATCAATCACCTCCCTTCATCATGACACGAGTGCATTGCGATTGTCATATGCATTTAATCGTATTGGTGGACAACATTCTCTTGGACCAGCTTACATTCATTTATCCAAATATGGTACGGACAGCGTGTTAGGTAATGATGGACTGCAGTATATATATCATCCAATAGCCTATGGACCATACCTAGCGGACAAATATGGCTATCCAAATGTGTCGAAATTACATCAACTTGATCCCATCACAACGAAGAAAAATTTCTATGGAAAACAAGGGATTCTTCGAGTGATTACATACAAGAAGAAACATGCCAATTTACCACTAGGACATGTGGCATTGTGGGATTGTGATCATTTTCATCAAACCAAAGATTTCATTGCAGATCACACTTTAATTACAGTGGAATTCTGGGAAACACCAGGTAAAGCATGTTCCTAATGAAATGAAATCTAAGTTCATTATATTGAAATACCATCTGTAATATCATTTGCCTGAATTTTCTATCAACCACCCCCCACCCTCCCTTCAAAGAAAGAATCCATGCATTCCTCTCTTTACTTTATATCAGATGGTGTTTCATTATAATATATTTATCATGCAATGCAATTACCCCTGGGGATAACACATGACCTCTGATTAAAGTTAGGGAGTGGGCTTATTACAAGACATGGACCTACATCCAGACAATTACTAAATCAGACGAACTGTCTCTGCCTTTTGTTCAGGCATCGTTTAAATGAAGCTCTCTTTTGACCGCCTACTCTAGTAATCCTTCTGACCTCCAATGTACATAATCATATTCACCTTCACCATATGTTCTTAAAATAACAGATCATCAACTTCAATGAAAATACCTTCCAAGCTATAAACAAACCAACTTTCAGAGCAGATGGGCAGAGCTGAACATAAAAGAGTTCCGATAGTCAACACCAATACTCCAAAGTTTCTGTAAATACAAATATTCATTTAAAAAGCCTTAAAGACCAGAAAATAGTAAAGGTCAATAAGAAGCTTGTAATGACCAAGCCCAATATTGGTACAACTAATGGTTAAGCTATTAGACAAACATTTTGATGATACAGATAAATAAAGTTACATAACAGATATGTGCTAATCAAATTAAGTCAGAATACTGTAAACAATGCATTATATGATGATTTAGGACTAATGGCTTCACAGCAAAATCATTCTAAGGCAATATCATCGATTAGACAATAGAAAATAAATTCTCAAACCAAACTTCATAATCCAAGGAAATAATTACAGTGATTCGTGATTTTAAGACAAGGTTCCCATTACTTGATTTGTTACAGCTGAGTGCAATTTTTTTTATTTTTGTTGACCATTGGTATTTTACCATTGTTAACTTAATTAACGAAAACAAGCAAACAAAAAAAGTTTTAGTCTGAAAGCAAACAGTTTCATATTCTCTAAAACCACAAAATTGAAAAAAACTATTGTATTTTCATGTTTTGAAATATAATATCTTTCAGTACATCTCATTACTTGGTCAACGTGATATTGGGTATGTAAACAAGCTTACATAGCCTTCATCAAAATAATGAAATATGTTATTTTATCCGATAAAAACATCAGCCATGTTGTCAGCCATGTTGGGTCAGACATTGCCAGTATGAAGCTGAAAGGGATTTCCTTTCTGGTAACAGCTTGTGACCTAGATAACACTGAGTCCTCAAATATCAATAATGTGGCTATTCAAATCCAGTTAAACATTCGTTTTAGTGAAGTCATTTCTGTCACGTTCTGTCGTAAATTTTATGTCACGATCATTGTGACATCTTGTGAGAATTAAGAAGTAGTGACTCTTTAAAAAATTTCAACAAAAATGATCGCAAAATCTAATCCTTTTTTAATTACAAAAATAAAGATATTACGATGAAATTTTTTCAAGGATACTTTAATACTTTAATAGATAAACACAGCACAGTTGTTCTGTAATAAGCCCATCCCTATTGATCAGTAAAATTACAATTTAAATCTGCTCCATGGTCCTGTAATAGAGCCACCCATTGACTAAGAGCAAGACCTGTTGGTCCCCAGCAGACCACTTGCAAATGTGTAAAGGGGCCACTTTCTAGTTAACGTAATATTAGAATGAAGTCTATCAACACAGGTTTGATGGTATGAAATATTTCCTAAACTTTCCCCTCCATAAAACCATGGTCTTACTAATTTAAAATGTTTGAAAGTATATATAATGACCGTGTTCCCAGGCGGAGCGATATCTCTGGTTGGGATTGCTGGTCACCGAAGGATCATACCTTGTCCACTAGGAGATGTATTTGTTTTTGCTTGTTTTTGTTTGCCTAGGGCCTCGTTATCTGTCCGACCAGAAGTGGGTAGGGTTGTTTAGTAGTTAAACACCCAACACCAGACCTACTGACTCATAAAAATCTAAACTAAGCCATTTAATTGTGGGTTTTAACAGTACTTTGTAAAAAAAAATGAAAATATCTGCCACAGAAATCAATTCTTATCAATTTTATCAAAATGATCAGGTTTCTTTCAAATGCTAATTTAAGCAAATCTCATTTTGAAAGCAAAGAGTCTGAAATCTCCACTGCTGATTCATGATGATGAAAGCAGCTTTTAAATTCAACGATTTTTACCTAAATTATATCATCGGTCTAAGAAAGCACCATCCCACTAGATTCCATACGAATGATGTCAACCATTGATAACAACTGCGGTAGATATATTTTTGTTTCGTGACACACCCGTCCTTTCGATCCCGCCAACAATCTGGAACTCTGGCATTCCCGCAATCTCTGCTGATATTGTCAATAACGGCTTTCCTGTGTCATTCTTTTGTGAATAATTTCATATTAATAAATATGACCATGTTTTTGTAATCCTTAAAAGATCTGAAGAGCTCCCCTGCTAACAAAACTGCGGCAAAACTGCAAACTATCTCATCTATTGCTATAATGAATTCCAGTGTTGATATCAAACATATCGCATGAAATAGTTTTCCCATGATGAACGGCTCAGTGAAAAACAATGAATGGGTCTACTTATCAGTATCAAGACATGTTTTTCACAGTGTCATATAATTTTGTTACATCATGGCAGTTTCTCGATTCTACATTCTCTCACGCCCTCTTTTCTCTCTTTGATAATACATTAGTTTTCATATCACCCACCTGAAAGAAAGAAAGAACGAAGCAAGAAAGAAGCAAGCAAAAAAGAAAATTTTAAAAACAAAAAGTGTGATGATGTTACTTTAAGATTTGAGCTAAAAACTATATATACAAGGGCAATAACTTCTGTTTATGAAACAAGGGGACATTACTGTATACCAGGTATTGTCAAACACACCTTACAGGCTACCTATAAAATAGAAATCATAGTAATTGAACTTCTATATAAAGGTCATGTTTTTTGCTCCCTTGAGTGGTCGTTAGAGACGGGGTTGAATGTATATACAGTGGAATCTGTCTCAACCAGACACCTTTGGGACTGAATAATTTGGCCAGTTTGTAGAGAGTTCTGAATTGTAGAATGTCCATTATTACAATATTATTGGAATTGGGACTTAATTATTTGACTGGATTAGGTAGATATCTGGATTGCACAGAATACAGTTTAGACAGAGTATAAAAAAGAAATTAAAGAATTTGTTGCAAGCATCACAAGTTTTCCTGTGTTAGATTTAACAATTGATTTTTGTTGTTATTTCAGATTCTGACTGTTCTCATTTGTCATCACGTAGTGACACTAATTCCTGGAACAGGGGACAAAATACACAACACCAAAGAGCTCCGAACCTCAGCACACTATTAAAAATGCCATATCCTGTTGCCTCCGATTCTATAAAAAATCAGCAAGCAGACAATGAACATTTACGGCACTCTCGACACAAAGGAATTATGGGAAACTAGCACCTGTGTGATGTCACATAACCGTCATTCTAGTCATAGGTGATTATCATCTTCGTAAACTTTTTATATAATCCGTCTGGCATTTAAGTCGGACAAGGCTGTCCTCGTTTGTGACTCAGTACAAATTACAGGGTACACATGCATTCTGTGTGAATGGGTCGACCAAGACCGATTTACAAATAAAACTGTGCTATAAATACAACACTTAAGGAACTAGCTACAGTTGAGTGCTATTATGTCAGAAAATACAATGTGATATTTATTATGTCTACAGCTGAAGTCTTCATCAACATTTAAAAGAGAAGAAGACAAAACCTGACAAATCAAACAAAATCATTTGCATAATCATCAACCAATCAAGTGCTGATGTCAAGACACATGAACCAATGATGTGCTGACAGTTCAACAGGATGATCTGTGATTGAAGGTTAAATGTCAAGATGGAGAGACCGACCAATCAGAATTGACATTAGCTGACAATTTTTAGATGAGTGACAAATCAAAAAAATTTCAGCTCATATGTATTGTATCATTGAATAAACCAAATCAATTTTTATTAATCACCATGATTTGATTTAGTGAAATTGTTTTAAATTAAAACATCGAAATATGCAGCATTTCCGATGTAATCATATGTATCCTTCCCTCAACCAAAATTCTAAAGTGGACTGCTCCAATACAAAGAAGGAAGAGTTTACTTGAGAAAATTAGGGAAAAGAAGAAATGGGTAAAGGATTGCTCAAAACCTTATCTGCATTTAATTCTTTGATAAATATATATATGTAATTAATTAAATTTATGACTCTGAAATTGGTTCAAATGTTGAGGAAAACAATCAAAATTCATTGAAAACTCCACAGAATAGATTAATCAATATAAGGACTATCACATCTATCAAATACCATAATTAAAGAAGACCGATGTTTTATATTTTATTTCTTACATTCTTGTTTTCATCCTTAAGGACACAATCACATCTTTTTTTTATTGCATATCAAAATGCATTGATGAGCTAGCTGAATCAGCAACACATATTTTTCAAACTCAGAGCAGAAAAATGATAATTGCAGCATATGACATTGTATTACAAAAAATATTCTAAAGTTATTTTTCTTTTTTCCATTCTTTTTTTATGACCTTGATTGTAAAACAGGACCATGACTTGTAAAATGGAGTTTTTACCTGGCAATTGTGAAATTGTGACCATGATTGTAAAATGGAATTTTTAAATTGGGATCTTCCTCTATACCGTATTTCTATAGGGCTCAGCCTTACTTAAAACCATACCATCACATTAAGATTTATCTATTTATCATGACACTTATTTCCTAAAATTATTGAATTCTTGTCCAAATAGAAAAAAAAAATGAATAACAATTTGAAATGATTGAGAATTTTCTCGACATGATAGATCACCTGAACTAAGTTACATTTACACACAATTATGTATGTAGGGTTACAAATAGTTGTTCTATATCTGTATTAAAAGCCGATACCTTCTTTAAAAAAATAAGTGACAGAATTTTAAATCCACACAAAAGACTTACACCTGGTTGATGAAGATATATGTATATATATATACAACATTAAGCGTATTTCTTTTCGTAACAGGTAAACTCAAATCAAGTGAAAAACTTACAAAGAAAGAAAACTGGAAAACTTTCAACACAAATATTTCACTTCAACATCAAATCAATATTGTACCTATGAATTCTAAATCTTTGTTCATTGTCATTCTTAAATTTTCACTAAAATATTGATCGCTTTATAAATACTCTGTATCTTACAACCATCATGAATGTAACTATAGTTTGTAACCAACATCTGGCTTAGACAAGGGTTTAAATTATACACTGATCTTTCTGCACTTAATTTGTGAAGCAATTATTAACAAGTGAAAATCTGAAGCTAAATTCCTTAAATATTTCTGAACTTGTTATCAAAGGGAGGCTATCCATACAAAACTAGAAAATAAACATTTTTTTTTTAAATTTTCAAAACACATCCAGTCATTAAAAACACATGCTAAGATATCTGAAAACTTTTTTTCTCTTAAAGAAGTATTTGTCTTCCCCAATCACTCATGGGATAAAATTGAGTATGGAAAAGATGTTTCTTGCTATTTTCTGGAGCTGACTTTTCCCAGGAGCAAACTTTCATTAGCATAGTTTGTAATACCTGTTTAAATTTTGATCAACAAAGTTCTGTCATCAAGTGATCTAAGTGGTATGATTTCAGTGCACCATATCCATTAGGTTCACTAGCTATTACCTGAAACTTCAAATCTGACGGATGTAGTAATTTCTCTTATCAATGATATTTTAAACAAGAAAATGTTAAACTTAGCCCCATTAAGACACAAGTGTGTACACCCATTACAGGATATTGTGCGATGTGATTGACTTAGTGTCAGATATTTTTGTACCCTTGAACCAAGTGTATTCCTGTACCCTCGAACCAAGTGTAACCTTAAAATCAATCAAATCAAAATTTATCATAGCACAGTCAACTTATCAGAATAATGACAAATAAAATCTTTGACATAAATTTTCAGCAAAGTTATTTGAAATTGCTTTGAAAATATAACTTTCTTTTTAACAAAACACCTTCTCAATCGGACAGAAAATTTAAAAATTGGCATTTATTTACAATTTTGATAATGTTTTAATTCAAAAAAATGAAAAAAGAATTATTAAAGACTAACAAAACTTTGAGATTTGAGTATACCTTGAAATTTCTACATTCATCCCTTTTAATAGTTTATTTCAGTACAGGTAAACGATAAACCTAACAGATGTTTTAAAGATCTTACAGAACCAAAATTTATCTTGCTTCAATGCATGACATTTTTACGAGTTAAATCTTTGTTAAATATTTTTCCCAAATTTTAGTTATTGGGGTTTTTTTTTGTTTTTTTGTTTTTTTTTTCCTTGTTTTTTTTTTGTTTTTGTTTTTTTTAATTATCAGTAATACCCACTTGCATCAATGATCATTACATATTAAAACTTTTCTTTTTGATTCAACAATCAAAACCTATCGAGTTCATTATTATGTTTGATTTATTTTCATGTAGTCAGATGATAAATAATCACATCTAAATTTCTGTCATTGCTGATTCAACAGTTTCCATGTTCATTTTTATTGACAAACCCTGAAATCTTTTTAAAGCACCATTTCAACTAAACAAGTGTATTTTTTTTTTGTTATACCAAACATTGTAAGGGTATTACATTTTGTATTGATTTTGTTCTGAAGTGCTACTATTTCTTTGTCATATTTATAGTATTTTGTGTTTTAATTGTTGTGCCAGTGACTTTAATGTGCAGAACATGTAAAAAAATGATTTCAATATTGATTTCTTCTTTTCTTAAGGAGATATGCTACCTTTAACATTAAGCCAGTGTTACAGTTGTCACCGTTTAAAACTAGAAATATCTTAATGTTTATCAGTTTATGTTCTTTCGAACTTTTTAATTTGATCATTAATTACTTGAAGTCAAAATGATCAATCACATACACCTTTTTTCCAACATAGAACCCCTAAAGAAAATAATGAGGTAGCATACACCCTTAAAAAAGAGGTAGCATACCCCCTTAAAAAAGTTATATATTTGGTGTTGTATAGAGTTACATACCATATTTAACTTTAAATGGTGTTAGTCCCTTGTAAATATATTCATGTTGCAAACCAAAGGAGGGACAAATGGGGCAGGGAAGGGCTTGTGGATGATCATATAGGGGAGATAATCAGAATCAGAGGCAAGTGGGCATAATGTGAAGTTGCCTGATTTGAGAGGGGTGGGGTGAAGGGTTACAGAGATCATTTACCCAGAATTACATTGAAGTCAAGAAGAAGGGGAGGGGGAGGGTAGGGAAGGGTAGGAGGGTCACAGGGGCATTTACAGAGATAAATATGGTACTACAAATTTAAGGTGAACACAAACATTGATTTATCTAATTTAATCAATACTAGTCAATATCATTGTTTGTTTTGCTGATCTCTATGAAAGTTTTTTATGTAATGTTATGGTTGACTGGAATAAGATAAATAAATTTCTATGAGTAAATACTTACCTATGATATATGAAATCAAAATTTGAGCTGAAGCATAAATCTGTTTTTTGAAATAGAATTAATGCTATATTTTTATTTGAAAATTTTCATCTTCCTTATGAAGTAGTTTCTATAAAGTGAATCACATTAAGAAACAATGACTTTGTTTTTCTTTGGAGTTAAAGTTAAGAATGATGCAAAGTAAAGTTGATTGCAAGAAACTTCGTTTTTTTTTTTTTTTTTTGGTATATTAATCTGAATTGTTCAACGTCTGAGTATCATTGGAAGTATATGAATGATATTTTACAGCAGAATCGCTGAAGTAGTCAACCAATCTTCAAAATACGGAGACAGGGCAAACAATGATGTCTTTTAAAAATAGAATGCTATTGAAATATAAATTACATGAATTAAATGAGTGTTGATTTGTACATAATCATGTGCTGTGTTGGAATTATTTCAATATTAAATTATGACTGTGTTACAATTGAAATTAAATAAAAAATGAATTAAAATTACTATATGGTCTTTATTTTATATTAAATACTAAGCTCACAAGCAAATCAAAAACAGAATACTGCCATACCAAGTGTAGGAGTCCCTAAGTAATATCTTTCTCAATCTGTACATATTTTTACAATAATTTTCAAAATTATACAGATAATGCTTCCTGGCATGGATTGAAGACACGATGGTTCTTACGATGGGAGGAAACCCAGATAAAAACTTATCTATTCCAGCAAGTTACCCCTCATCTTTTAATGTCTGTTCAGGGAATCAAACCCTGCACACTTATATAATCACTCTTCTGAAGGTTGTTCATGCTACTATGAATTTATTTAATTTAGCCCAATAAAATTTTAGCACATTATCACTCACTTTGTGAATTAGCAAAATAATGAAAGTGATTGCAATGAAAATGAAAGTCAGAAATTGCAATTAGAGCAATCTTAATTTAGCGGTTTTGATGCAAAAAAATATTGCACTTAATATGATTCCTTTAATTCTATATGTTAGCAGAATATCTTTCAGTGTGAAAACCGCTGAAATAAGATAACTACTAAAATATGTGCTTTTTCTTGA